CCCCCCCACCTGCTTCAGTCAGCTGCAGCTCCACCACTGAAACAAACTATTTTCTCAAATTTCATATCTAAGAGAGACATTTATCTGTGATCTATGAAGCATTTTGAGTTGTGTTGTTTGTCACATTTAGGTTTGGTTTCACATCTGTGTTGAAGCTTAGCTACTGACTGTAAAACTGACAGCATGTTTGGGAGGTCTAAAGCAGGGAGAAAGGAAAATAAAGAACATAGAGAGGAAGGGAACGTTAGAGGGGTGTGTGTTCAAAGATAAAACCCAACCCAAATACTTTAGCATAACTGTTCTTGTTGACACGGACGTTAATATATTAAAACTTAGCTGTCTACCTTTAGCTTCTGCCAATTTAGCTTTTTATCAGTAGCGGAACTAAGACATTTGTGGAGCAGTTTAGATGTTAGAGAAGCTAATACTTTGGTTAGCTGTGCCCACCACTAATATTCAGTTTGTTATTCAGGCTATATACAGAAATTCACAAGTTAAATTTAATACCTTTCATATCTTTTTTTAATACTATCACAATATTTTTAATACCTCACAATATTTTTTATTACTGTCACAAAACTTTTTGACCATCACAACATTTTATATACCGGTACGACTTCGGGCTGCAACTGTAGCATCAACTTCTTGAACTTCACTTAGTTTTAACTAATTATAAGGTAATRGATTAGTGTCATTATACTTAACTTTTGGGGAGTTGTTTAAAACATTAATACCTCATCAGATGAAGTTTATCACTTTTTAATGGCCTGAACTTTTGCTAATTTAACTTACTACTTTTTAATACCGTTTACAACCYCATGGTCAGCTATTACTTAAAAAAATTACAAGACTGTTGGACATTCTGTTTTCACTCAGCTATTGCGTGCAGTATTTAAAGGGACAAAAAAATTCCATTTTAACACCAGGCTAAAACAGCAAATAAAATAAAGTGAGACTCACACCACGAGGTTTCGTAAGCTGTGCTCTCTAGGTGAACAATTTTTGATTTTGCTGGACCTCAGTAAGGCRGCGACCTCCATAATTGCTCCTTTTTCCCTCATCATGTAGCGATAATATTGCTTCTTAAAAGGCACAAACTGTGGAAAACAAGAAGCAAAATCTTTTWAACTTTTTTTGTTGTTTTTTTAGTCATTGAGCACTACAAGTTAAAATTTACAATCCATAGCTTGTCTCACCGTGGGTTCCTGGATGATGTTCCTCCAACGGTGGCAAACGAGGCCAGCACTGCAGTAAAGGTCCGYTGCAGGAAGAAGAACAAGTATTTGTCTCAGGACCTCGTCTGGAAGGTCGTCCATGCCGCTCTGCGGTTGGAGCAGGACCCTGCTGTCCCCCAGGAGTCCAAAGTGAGCGTCGGGGAGAGGCTCAACCTCTTCCTCCTCATCCTGGTTACAGCGTGTGTCGAATTCCTCATCATCCCCKAACATCTCGGCCGTCAGTCCCTCCAAATAGTCTTCCTCTTTTAGCTCAGGTCCCACGCCAGCACCAGACTGGACTGCATCTCCGAAGACGCACCTGTCGGCCTCAAACTTCGACTGCGTTTCGGCCGATAACAGACTCTCATCATCGATCTCATCTTCCTCCTCTGCCACAAGCTCACATTGGGAGGCCAGCAGGCTAACATCGCCATCCTCATCTTCTTCTTCTTCCACAAACGTCGATCCTGCAGAATGTGTGGATGTGGAGGGCTGAGAAGATTTKTTTGGACTGGAACTGATGACTTTTGTCAAAGAGAAGTAGTCGACGATGGCCTTTTGTTTACCAGAGGGACTTCCTGTGGCAGAAGCTGCTGCTTAAAAAAAAAAAGAAAACTATAAACTTCAGATCAAATCATACTGAAAGCAAACAAAACCAGCTGTAAATGCTGACTCTTTGTTAGGGACACTTCCATTTTTTGAGGGTATATAAAACACAAGTTCAGTGCCAACAGAGCTTTGGGTGCAAAAAGAGATTATACTATCAGGACTGTTCACCGTGTGCGCACTGATTCGTTTAGATGTCTGGGAAAGAATTTAAAATAAATTACCAGATTTATGTCGCTTCCCGGGGCTCCTGTGGTAACGCCCTCGSTTGGAGCTGCTCCATCCCTGGTTGGACGTGTGGGGTTTGGTAAGAGCATTTGCATTTTGTCCCAGTTCGTAGCAATCCTGTGCGTTTAGGTGCTTCCTTTTGGCCCTTCCTGGGGAAAAAAACAAAAAACAACAACAAAAAAAATAATTGCCACAATAAATTTGTGTAAACAAATGAGTCAGTTTATCCTTCCATTTCTGCATTACCGTTTGTACACACCAGTCTGTAATTATCTGATGAAAGTTAAACACAGTTTGGAGTTTAAATGTCTTTATACTCGGTATTTTATTTATTTTGGTCCCATGGTTTCAGATTCAAACATATCGTTTTTTACTTCCACCTTCTTGCAGTTACTTTATTTTATGCTAACAATTTCCACACTGGATCAATAAAATCAGGATMTATTAACTTGTGAAGATTTTATGTCATAATATTTACATAATGACAAAGCAAAGCCTCTGACACTCTAAGAACCTGTACATGAAATAACYACTTTAAGTTGTTTCTGGGTTTTGYAGCTACCAATGMTAACAAATTACTTATGTTTGCTTCATTTTTCAAAATAACCAACCTTTGACGGACACCTCCATCTCGGTAATCACGCCAGTCACCCCAGGACTTATTGGTGTATTTAAAAGTCTGTTCAACAAAAAGAAGAATGTTGTCAAAACGTTATTTTATTGTTTTACAAAATAAAGACTTGTTTGGTTAACCGTCAGCACTGAAGCTAAAGTTTATCTCAGGTTGCAGAAAAGCTACAGCTAGCTAGCTTGTTTATAATTTACAAACAACTCCTCTGAGCTGCTAGTGCTGCATCGTGATTGGTCGGTTTCTTCTTCGTTGGATTTTATTTTTGCTATTCAAAAACACAAAGGATTGGTATCGCCACCTAGTTGATATAAATGATATYAAATTGAAATCTGTCTTTTTGCACTTTCCGTGAAACGTGTTTGCATTGAGATTACCTATAGTTTAGTTATAATCAAATGTAAATGAAATATATACATATAATACTAATAATCCTTGTTTGCAAAAGTGATAAACGGACTGAAAAACGAGGTCACAGCTACAGGGTGACAACATCCACAGAAGAGACTGAAATGGGAGCAGGTGGAAGAGAACCTGGAGAGGTAGATGTAGTATGCTCTTGGGAGAAAAAAAGGTTTAGAGTTGGTACATGCTGTTTTTACCCATGTCTGTTGATTTTACTGCATTCAAAACACAAAATATTTTTGTGTAATTGATACATTTTGAAAWTTTTGTTTCACAAYTCAAAAASTRCTTTTGWATTTTCCATCATTCCATCATCTTTTATTAATMCAAGACAAAAGCACATCCATTCAAAGATAGTACTATGTTTATTCATTGGTCAGTAATTTCTCAGTGCACAGGTTTTTTTTTTCTGCAACTTACTGAAACATCTTTAATCAGTGTCRAAGCTGTACAGAAAAATTAAAGTCAATACAACAATTAATTCAGAAATGTTGAACCGTGTTAGAACATCTAAAGGAATGTTTTCTGGTTTCTACATCTTGCGAGAGGAATGCAAACATTTTGTGGTAAAGTTCAAATATTTGAATGTTTCAGGCTTTGAAAGGGCTGGAAACATTTTTTTTGTAGCAGGGGCTTTATTATCAACAGTTTTGTGTTATTATCTGTCGAGAAAACTTTTAAAACAGACACATTTAAATATGAGATTACGTTAGCTTTAAAAAAACAGATTTTTTCAAATAATTTCAATTTAAAATGTGGAAATCCTCAGTTTTCTAGCCTGCCCTGACTACATCTCCCTGTTCTTCATCACTGCTTTAGAACAGGCAGCTCCCTAGGCTTAAAGAAGGCCTGAGCCATCCCCATGCCAAAGATGTAAACTTTGGTGTCCACCACGATTTTCTCTCTCTGCAACAGATCTGTTGAGATAAAACAAGAGTTTGTTAAAAACTTTAAAACCGGACAGTGCAGGGGCTTGTTAGGAAAAAAAACTCCTGAAGCCTTACCGTCAATTTTTGTCTGGAATTCATCGAGCGGCAAGAGAAGAACTTCTACAAACTCTGAAAAGAGAAAACCACGCAGTGAAAAACAATTTTTGAAGTTAAAGTTTACTTTGAAAAAATGAGGATGTAACTCACCTCCGTCACCTGTGGAAAAACACAAGAGAGCACCATTAATCTATTTGAACAAGTCACTTTTRCACAGAAAAACAGTTTAAAGTGACCTTTATCTTACATATGCTTATTAAAAGAACGTCTCCATCTTCTGTCGCTTATTCATAGTCAGGTCGTGGAGGTAGATCCAGGAGAKAAACCCAGATATCYGTCTCCCTAACAACACTTTACTGCTCGTTCTGGGGGACCCTGAGGGGTTCTTAGCCATAGCTCATGACCACCAGTAAGAGTTAAAGCCTAGATTGATTGGTAAACTGATGGCTCACTTCTCTACAACATATTAGTACCAGGGTTCCCACACTTTGGYCAGCATCAAATTCAAGGAMCTTTYAAAAACTTTCCATTACCAATTTTCTCAAATTCAAGAATTGCGCACTATGGCAATTACCTACTGCTACCACAGAATGTTACCAATAAACAGGTTTAATATCATGTAAATTCAATGAAAAACTGAACAACATAGAAGTTGTTGAAGTCAGAATCAATGAAAGAAAGTGGATTAAATGTATACCCTCTGCTCTGATTGGGTAAACTTTGACTATGGTTCACGGTATTTGTTGAAAGCCATGCCAGTTTACTGTAATCCTGAGTTATTCACTGCAACAAATGTAAGTTTTTATCTATATATGATTTTTTTTACAGATGATTATTATTATTATTTTATTATTATTTACCGTTATTTAACCAGGCAAGTCCTGTTGAGATCGCAAATCTCTTTTTTCAAGGGAGGCATAGGCCTGAAGGCAGCTTATTGTACATGTTTTTGGGGGTGGGGGAAACGGGAGTACCCGGAGAAAACCGCAAGCATGAGGAGAACATGCAAACTCCACACATAACGACCCCAGGTCCGACCCGTGTGAGGCGTCGGTGCTAACCACTGAGCCGCCGTGCCGCCGTGATGAAAATCAATTGTGTGAATAGAGAAATTCAATACCCAAAAAAACATTCAAAGACAAGTGTAATTTTTGGCTGTTTTCACAAACTTTCCAGGGCCTTGAAAAAATATTTTCAAATTCACAAACTTTCAAGGATTTCAAGGACCCGTGGGAACCCTGAAGTACAGACTGATTAGAGCTGGGCGATATGATCAAAATTTTATATCACGGTATTTTCAACATTTTCACCGGTTTCACAGTATTTGACGGTATTTTTCTTTTCATCACAGCTCAGCTGATAATAACATGTACAAACCCTGCTTATTGACTTTTTTCTTTTGTCACTGAAGAGGTGTTTACTACATTCAGCGATGGTGAAAACGRGATGGTTTTTTAAACATCAGTCAATATAAGCAGCAGAATCGCCACCCGCGGCTGCAACTAGCTGCTGCAAACATTAGCATGCTAACGCACATAGCGGCGCAGCAAAGAAAAATGTCCCCCGGGAAACAACAGTTCACTGGCGGCCGCGACAAAACATTCCGCTATTTAAACCGGAATATCCGGTATTCATATATAACAAAAATAAAAACCGGTATTCAGTACAAAACGGTATACCGCCCAGCACTAAGACTGATGCTTCTTGATTTCTTCCTCTGTTCTACCCCCTCTAGGAACAAGAACTCCTACTTGAAGGTGAGGAAAATGCTCATTCTGTCGTGAAGGTCWAAAGCTACCCATTCCACAGGATGGTCTTCTTCTGTACCTGGTCAAACTCCAATGGGATGCTACAACCGTCCCAGACGATAAAACTTTGAGGATCCTTGGGACACTTATACCAATCCACCTTGGTATGGTAGGGTGAGTGGGGATGGATAAAGAACCATATGAGCGGGGCCTCGTAAGTGGGTCCATTGCTCTCCACCAAAAGACACTGAGCTTTATTCAAACCTTCACGTCCCTCAGATGAAGGACACGAGGTTAGAAACATTCAGTGTTCTGAGCTTCTCAGGATCCGTAAAGGGGTCCCCAAGACTGCTCAGAGTCAGGCAGTGGTCTAAGTAGTGCAAAGAGATCTCTAATTCAATGCCACAGGCATCACACAGACCATTGCCATGGAGTCCCATCATCATTTTGKGGTGTTTGAGCAGATTGTGCCCTGTTAGGACTCCAACCAGYGTGCTTAGAGTTTTCCTTGTCAGGGCGATGAGAGCTTTCCCAAACCTAAGATTTGGGCCATTTATCAGTTCTGTCTACAGTCTGTCAGCTTGCTCCACCTTGGYAAGATGGCGACTAATGTACTGTGAACCGGCTGAGCTGAAGATCTGCAAGTCTGAGGTTATGGTTCTCAGTCGTGACAGGAGGCACTGTAGGGGACCAATGCATTCTGGACTGGGTGACAATCTGATGACTGGCTTTGGAGGCTTGGAACGTTACCAGTGCTRTAATCCCTGATAATCTTTGATCTGTTTGATCTGTTCTGAATCAATACATCTCATAACAAACCCTAGTTCAAACATTAAAACAGTGTTGGGAACAGAAAACTAAAGTTAGCTTCACACACCACTAACCTGCTAAACAAGAACCTTAGCTCCACTAATGCTAAACCACTAAACAGATTACAAAGTTAGTGAAAGCTAACACTAAACGCTAAGACGACTGTCACTCAAATTTTTCGATTTTTTTATTTGTTGTATAAATATTGTTAAATGYTAATTTATTTCTTTTTGACGCTCTTAGTTTGAAGTTTAGCTGCTAAAGATGCTACATGCTACACACACGGTGCCTGACACAACCAGCACTGCTTGTAACAGCGGATAGTTTTTATTTAATTTAAAGTAAGTGGTACAAAAATAGATTCACAATTTACGTTTTACACGTTAAATTAGTGGCAAATTTAGCAAAAACGCTAACAATTTCCCAAGTTAGCAAAAAAAAGCTAATCCACTAAATAAGAAGCTAGTTCCGCTATTAGCAGATTAGCAGAACTGTGCCCACCACATAAACCCTATAACTAATGAACAATCCAAGCGTTCTCACCCAGCTGCTGGACAGGATGRATATTCTCCACGTCGTCTCCGTTAATGTTGACCAGAACGATCTGGGTGTTGCTATTAGACAAGCCGGGGTCCAGGCAGGTCACTGAAATCAGAGCAGCAAACATCAAGATGACCATCACTGATCCCTGACCCTCAGCAACATCTTCAGGAGATAAGATATAACCAGCAGTTAATGCAATCAAGTACCTGGAGTGACCCCGACCACTTCCCCCTTATAGCCAGTTTCCTCCTTCAGCTCCCTCAGCGCAGCCGCCTCCGCTGTCTCCCCTTCATCCAWCAGACCTGAACACGGGCAGGTATTTAGTAATAACAGACAATAAACATGTTCATTTAACTTCCTGTTTTAGACAAAAAAAACGTTCGCAGACCGGCGGGAAACTCGAGGGTGAAGGATCCCAGCGGAGGACGGAACTGCTTCACCATCACTACACAGTCTTTATGGAGTGTCCGTTTCAGGAAAGCGATGATTCCCACACCTACACACACACACACACACACACACACACACACACACACACNCACACACACACACACACACACACACACACACACACACACACACACACACACACACACACACACACACACACACACACACAAAATATATAAACATTTCAACCCAACCTGATCAACCACGCTACACAACAAAAAGCAATGAAAAGCTGACCGTCTACGTTGCTCCTTCTGGTTGTTCGCTTCGCCGTCTCCCAGATTCTTAACAGARACACAAAAACATTTAAGGATGGATTCCTTTATTTATTTATTTAATCATTTATTTTTCCTAAATAAAGCTGAGTGRGGGGTCGAACACCTGGTGTTTCCAGCAGGATCAACATATGTGGTCTTTTCCAGCTTCACCCATTTCCCTTCTGCTATGACCTGGAACCCAAAGCAGAGGCAAAATCAATCAGATGTGTTCAGTCTGATCMGAGACGTAACAAAAACTGTTCCGCAGGACGGAAACAAGGAATTCRGACGTTTTTGTAACAAACAAAACACTTTGTAAAACGTAAAAGTCCTGCAGAACTGTAACTGTTCCTAATGGTAACAATGGTTCTTATGCAGTGGGCTATGTCTAAATGCTGGGTTATGTTATTTTGATGTTTGCTCTCAATAAAAAGAGTCAAATATAGTTTTTATTTAATTTAGTGTCTTTAAATTTTAGCTCATAAATGGTGTAAATTTATTTGATTTCAGTTTTTGAAGCTGCAGCCCTTCTTCCTCATCTAAACATGACTAAACTAAAAATTAAACACAGTCAGCAAATGTCAACAYTGCAAACTTTACAAATGACAATACAAAACTTTATGAGGTCAGTAACACAATTTCTTTGTCTTAAATTTATTTGGWGCAAAAATACAAACCTCTTCCTTCACTACGTGTGGTGTTGTGGTTACTTTCTCTTCGGAGTTGCTCATTTTCAGGCTGTTCAATTAAAAACATGGAGGACAACAGTTGAGAATGTGAACAAATTAAAGGAATTATGACACATTTTAGCGTTTTAACGACGAAGCATTGAGCTGCACCATACAAGTTGCATTATGTCCCTTTGTGGCTCTAAAATAGACTCGCATGTGTTTCATTCTGCTCATTTAAGACACGCTAACATTTTTTTGTGATATTGCCACAAGAAGTCGAAGCTTTTGTTTTTCAAACTTTTAACTAATTCTGCAAATTGAGCTCAAGTAAACGTAACTCACGTGAAGTCCTAGTCAACAGCAGCRGAGAGTGTTTGTTACGACGATGAGTCACTCTGGGAGGATTTCTCGGTGCCACAAACGTCACTACAACCGAGTGAAATTAAAGAAATTATTTTTTTATTAGACTATTTTTGTCAGATGCAGCCATAAACACAAATAATATTTAATTTCAAGATATTTATAGAAATGATACAATGTTTTGTTAAAGCTTTTGTAGTCACATCTTATATAAGCCCATATTTTATGCTTGTTTTTTTTAACAACCCATTCATTCATCTATAGCTAAAGAAACTCTAAAACGTTTTGCTTTTATTTATATAAAAACTTCATAGTTGACGACAACGTTATATTGAACTTTGTGGAAAAGACGTGTTTAAAATATACACAGGTGTGATTTTACGTAAGAATAAACGATCTATGTTAAAATGTTGCGTCATTTCTTGTCTGTGTGCACCTTAAAACAGCTCCCCCCGACATTACTCGAATATTTCACATTATTAGCGAAATAAATAAAAGTGACCGTGTAGACTTTTATCTATATAAAAATAAATAGTAACATTTAATAGTGTTAATGGGTTTATAATATTCAGAGTCTTATTTAAAAAAAAAAAAGAAATCAGGTGTGACGGATGACATTTACCGATGGACACGTTTCCGGAACAGCGGTATTGCAGCATGAAGAAGGAGCAAGTTGTCAACTGTCAGTTCTCTGTTTGGTATCCGATATTTAAGAAACACACGATAAAAAGGTAAGCACCAACTGGTTATAGGAATAAYAACGATTTAGGAAAACTTGTAGCTGCTGTAGATTACGTCTAGTTAACAAGCAAAATTATTTGTCAAAAACAGGTCAACACAAATTATTKTGTCGTTTGTTTCATCGTATGTCTTTTAACAGCATGTTATTTAGTTTATGAGTTTTAAACGATGTTTTTCTTTTTGTTTTTTAGTCTGATTCTTCCTTTGCCAGAGAATGTAATAGAGTATTTACTGGACGATGGGACATTGGTAGTCTCTGGAAGGTA